GTATGTTCGCTGCGCCAAACCAGGCAGAGAGATATTCGCATCAATGGAGGTAAATATTACTTAATATAGTGGCGTCGGCTCGAAACGGATGGAAACATAGAACTACAAGTACATATGAACAGAGAGGGAAGAGAGGGGAGAGAGAGAGAGGGAGAGAGATGAGAGAGAGGCAGAAGAGGGGAAGAGAGGGAGAAAGAGAGAGAAAGGGAGAGAGGGGGGGGGGAAAGAGTGGGAGAAAGGGGAGAAAATAGAGGGGGCAGGGAGTTAGAGAGGGTGCGGGAAGAGACTGAGGGGGGTGCGTGAGAGATTGAGGGGGTGCGGGAGAAGATAGGGGGGTGGAGAGAAAGAGGGGGTGGAGAGGAGAGGATGGGTGATGAGAGAGAGAGAGGTGAAGAGGGGTGGTTGGATGTGAGAGAGAGGGTGGGTGGATGATAGAGGGGTGGGTGGGAGTGAGAGAGGGGTGGGTGGAACAGAGAGGAGAGGGTGGGGAGTGAGAGAGTGGAGGGTTGGGAGACAGAGAGAGGGGAGGTGGGAGAGTAGAGAGTAGAGGGTTGGGAGAGAGAAGAGAGGGTTGGGAGAGAGAGAGAGAGAGGAATGAGAGGAGAGAGAAAGAGGGTTGGGAGATGAGAGAGAGGATGAGGTTTGGGAATAGAGAGAGAGATAGGTTGGGATAGAGAGAGAGAGGGTGGGATTAGACGAGAGAGAGGAGGGTTGGGATAGAAGAGAGAGAGGGTTGGGAGAGAGAGAGAGAGAGAGAGAGAGAAGAGAGAGAGGAGAGAGAGAGAGAGAGAGAGAGAGAGAGAGAGAGAGAGAGAGAGAGATAGTAAAAAAATGGACAGACAGACAAACGAATATATACAAAGATAGAGGCAAAAACACTCGTACTAATAAGACATACATTAAAGAATCCTCACAAAGTATACGGAACACAGACACAAACAAACACAAAAATAGAAAGAAATAGACAGCTAGATAGAGACCAAGATATACAGAGACTTTAACGTTATACAGACAGGCAGAGACATGGACAGACACAGAGACAGAGAGATCGTCACAGACACACGCACACACTCACAAACAGAGATGAACATGAATAGGAAAAGATAAAGACAGAGAGGGGGAAATACAAACAGAAGCATAGCAAAATAAGAAACCGAGATACAGCTAGCCTTACAGACATCGAACAGACAAAGACAAAAGACAGAAACAAAGAAACAATCACAGACAGACACACGGACACAGCCATCACAAAGGTACACCGAGGACATTGAGACGCAACCGACCTTCCTCTCTCTCCTTTCACCCGCTTTATTCTCCCGCTCTCTTCCCCTCTCCTTCCTCTCCCTTTCACTTCCACGTATTCATTTCCTAATCCTATACATAGAATCTCTGTGCATTTCCCTTCTGCGTGTTAAAGGATTGGGACTCGTGTGAGGGGAGAAAAGTATACTGGAATGGAAAAAAGAAAATAATGAAAAAGGGGGGAGGGGAACCAGTCGATAATAATGAATAATAGAGGGAAGGTGGATAATTAGATAATTAGGTGTGTAAATGGATGGATAGGTTGCTGAGTAAGTTGGCCGAATGGAGAGATAGTAGGTTAAAGTAGATAGTTTGGTGGGAGATAGATAGACAGATAGATAGTTTGATGGATGGATAAGTAGATAATAGATTGTCAGCCCGGCCGAGGAATAGCTAAGTAGTTTAGGTGATAGATAGACTGATAGATTGATAGGTAGATAACCGAGATAAACATATCTATAGGTCTTAATAGATAAAAAGAACAGCTAAGTTTATAGGCAGATAATTTAGGTGACAGACAGATAGATAAATAGATAGGCTATCATCTATATAGATCAAAGGAAAGATAGATGGAGAAGAGATAGATAGACATAGATCTATAAATCAAGAAATAGATGAACAAATAGTAATGAATATACAAAAAGGAATTGATTCAAGCAGAGAAAACATAAAAATATCACTAACTAGTATATTTCATGCGAAGAAATTGATAAGATAACTCATGCAAAATTTATTCATGACATAATTTAGTCGATTTTGATTAAAAAGAAAAGAGAGAGGGGAAAAAATCTTAATTAAACCTGACTTGGAATTCATGAATAGATAAAACCTTCGAAATTACGTTTAGTTCGCTGACGTTATAGCTTGAAAAAAAGAAAAGATGAAAGGTAACAACAAAGTGAAATTGTGTTATTAGAATGTTGAAATGGCAGATTTCAGTATTATGATGTTTGAGATGAGATAAAAAGGGCTTGTTAATATCTAGTAGGGTAAATAAGAAAGATAGAGAATGTATAATAATTAGCAAGCTGATACGTGAATTATGTGTCATATGAGTGTAATATATCAATGGACAAACTATATAACAAGTGTGTAATTGTCCGTAAACTAGCGCACAGTGCAGTCCTCTTAGAATAATTGTCGAAAATTGAAGTCAGTCGCTAAGTCGTTCCGGGAATGTGTAAATGTATGTCTTTGCTAACTCTTGTGTTTCGTATTATCTCCTGAGAGTATGTAACCAAAGGACTTTACGTGTGTTTACCTTTCCTCACCTGGTAGACGTTAGATAGTGAACACCCTCATGGATAAGTGGAATAACTGGTGAATGTTGGAAAAGGAAAGAAAAAGATAGCTCGGTGTATTAGAAAGTAGAGTATCTTACAAACGGAGAGATAGATAGTATATATATATATATATATATATATATATATATATATATATATATATATTTATATTTTTTTTTTTTTTTTTTTTTTTTTTTTTTTTTTTTTTTTTTTTTTTTTGTAAGTCATTTGATACACAAAGTAAAAGCTAGAGATATATAGACAAGTAGATGGAATATAGATAATCTAACTTGTGAGAGACGAAAAATATTTGGTAGACAATAGATAGTGGCCGATAGCAACCACAGAAATAGCCGTAGTTATCTCGGAAATTGACGAAAAAAGTGGTAGATTAACAACGTGGGAAGTATAAAGGCTGGTAAACAATTTAGTAAAGAGAAATGAACAGTTAGAAATTCAAGTGAACATTCCAAGAAACTTTTTTCTAGAATGAACATCAGGCGCAATAGAGTAATAACATACAACAAAATGGATGCTTCAACATTAGCTTCGACTTTATCCGGAAAAAAACACCGAAATAATGAAGGGCATACGTAACGAAGACACGGAATACTGCCATCGGATTTACAATACCTGCAGTGACCGCGCCTTGACACACATACACACACGCACACGCACGCACACATACGCACGCACACACACGACGCACACACACACGACGTACACAGACACACACACACACACACACACACACACACACACACACACACACACACACACACACACACACACACACACACACACAACACACACACACACACACACACACACACACATGGAAGGACTTCGATCTAAGGTACGTTTTTATGGGAATTATGTAGATCCAGAACGGTCGTTCCTTTTGTGTTTTTGAGATGGGAATTCTCTGTTATTTGTTTGCCATTTTATTTTATTCCTTATTGTGTGAGTTATTATTATGATTATCACTGTTATTTTTATTGTTATTGGTGTCGTTTTTGTTATTGTTAGTGGTGCCGTTGTTGTTATTGTTATTATTATAATGGTAATTACAATTATTATGATTATGATCACCACCACCACCGTTATTGTTATTATTATCATTATTATTATTATTATTAACGTCATCACCATCATCATCATTATTCCTTCGTTTCCTCGTTATCCTCTTCCCTCCTCCCTCTTCCCTCTTCCTGAAACCCCGCTTTCTTCTTCTTTTTTGCTTAATCGTACCGTTTCCTTGCCCCAAAAACCCACCCAAGCAAACTTAGTCTTTAACGACAGCACTCATTATTAACAAACTATTTCTTAATATATTTATCTAACATAATTACTTTTCTTCGTCGTCTTTGTCTCTCTGAAATTTTAATAAGATCGTATTTTAATTTCTCTCTCCCCCTCTCTCTCTCGTTTGTTTTTTGTTTGTTTGTATTTTTTTTTTTCTGGAGATATTAACTTTTATCGTCAGTCTTTTGAGAAATATTACGTGGGTCATATATTGTCTTTTGATGAAATTTTTTAAAATTGTGTGACGTTAGGTTATTGGTGTTATTATCGTCATTATTGTTATTATTATTATTTTATTATTATTATTATTATTATTATTATTATTATTATTATTATTATTATTATTATTATTATTATTATTAATTATTTTGTTATTATTATTATATCATTATCATTGTTATTATTGTTTGTTGTTATTGTTATTGTTATTTTTATTTTTTTATTATTATCATTGTTATTATTATTATTGTTGTTGTTGTTGTTGTTATTGTTATTGTTGTTAGTATTATTATTATAATCAATATGATGATGATGATGATGATGATGATTATTATTATTACTATTATTATTTTTACTATTACTATTATTATCATTACTGTTATTATTTTTAGTAGTAGTAGTATTAATATTGCCATTTTTATCGTTATTATTGTTGTACAACTTCTGCTTTTGATACGATTATCATCATTATCATTGTTAACAGTTTTGCATTCCCTCTTTACTATCATTATCATAGTTATTGTTGTTTGCGTTGCTGCCGTCCTGGTTTTCTTGATAGTATGGCAGACATTATCATTTGTTTTACTATCATTATCGTTATATAATTTTGTTCTTCAGGAGTATCGATTTTTTTTCTTTACTTCAGAGAGGATAGACAAAAAAGCAAGCGGACAAACACACCGATAGATGAATACAATAGATAATTTTTTTTTGGCATAGCCGTGAAAAAAAGGCAGACGTAGATAAACAGATCAGCAGACAGACAGACAGGGAAAAGATGGGGGCTGACTAACTGACATACAGAATGGCAGACAGACTGATTGACAGGATGGTTGACAGACAAACTGACATTGACAGAACGGCTAACAGACAGACTGACTGACTGATTAAATGGCAGAATGGCAGGCAGACTGATTGACTGGCAGAATAGCAGACAGACAGACGAACAAAACAGAAAGAGAATGAATACAGATCCCATTCATAATTTCCTTTCTGCCTCGCATTCACAAACGTCTG